AAATTCTCGATTTTATATTTTACATTTTTTACTTTAAAATGCTATAACTTTTTAAAAAATGTATAAATCAATACAATTTTTTCATGAGAAGTAGTATTTATAAACATCTTTCATTCGACATACTTTATCTTAATCAGTTTATTAATGAGGAAATAGCAGATCATGTAGCTTTTGGAATAATCCACCAATTGTTTAAAATTAAACACTTTCTAAAGATTTGCATCGAAGTGTTTTTTTTGATAGTGATTTTAATCACTGTCAGATATCATTATACTTGATCCAACTATGCTGTGTCACCACTGTGCATCGAGCCCCCGTGCTGGTTTTTAACACGCTTATATTAGTTTCACGTGTATGTTTGTTGTTTGTTGTTTGTCGTTTGTCGTTTGTAAGTTTGTAACTCCACGCGGCACGTGTTATTATGTCGCGTATCCCGTCGTGTATGACCTTGAGACTAAACTGTTGTAACGCATTCGCCCCACCCCGCTTACCACTCGTAGAGAACAATATTTTCCAACCCGTAGACGCGCGCTTATCATCAATTATATATATATATATATATATAACAAATTTTTATTGTAATTGACACAGCCCCGCGGCGTAAAACGACGCGGTGCAAAGTCCAGCAAGTGCCGCACGGCCGACGTCCCGCCGCTATACCGTAGTCTTCTTCCCATTGTCAAAATAACATCGTCAACAAACTGATCCGCACTCGCGCACCGTCGTCATCTACGCTGCTAACCTATTGACGCCCGAGGATCACGCCAGACATCGCGTCTTCGACGCCAGCAAAAGTGCCGCGATATTATGCGAAGAATATATATTCCTACCGCCACCGCTAATATTAATATATATATTAATATTTATACGTATATGTTAATATTCATTTATATATTCCTACAGCCGACGCCTCTGCCGCCGTATATGCCTCGTGTATAATGTTCCCTCCGCCATGCCCGCCCACATAAACACGGCTATACCTCATGCATGATACGTTTACGTACTTAAGTCCCTTTAAATATATATATATTCTAATTACTATTAAAACTTATATATTAATACACTTTATTCTCATTAAGAGATAT